TTTATGTAATTTAATTAATGAAATTAGACATTTTTTGAACAACGTAAATAATATGTATTTTTTAATTATGTTTAATTTTCAATTATTTCTCTGGTTATTTCCAGATCCAATTTTATGATTATTTGCTAAACATTTAATTAATTAATAAAATACGTAAATAATTGCTCCATTTAAATGCTTTAATGGATTTAAATATTAATTTAATGCTCAAATTTAAATAATTTTTTTGAGCAATTACTCAATAACTTGTTAATTTTTTGACTACGTAATATTATACGTAACGCAATAATGATACAACGAAAAACGTATTGTAAGTATCAAGAATTGTTTATATTTTTAATAATAGCATAATTTAAAAATAATTTGATGATAAATAAGTTGCTATATTTTATTTTTGAAATACAAATTTAAGGTGCCCTAAATAAAATTAATGATCTGTCACAAATTTAACTGCCATAAATCTACCAAATGTGTAAAATTTACAAGTCTTTTTCAGTAGCTTTTATATTGAAAGCCTAAATCAAAGAGTATATGGTACATTTCGTGTAGGTAGACTACACGAAATGTCACCACCAAAGAGTACATACATATAGACCATAATTTAATAGACAACTTATTTGATTTAACTTTGACATTTGGTTAGGTTAGAATTTTGATTAAAATTATAAAATTAAGAAATAAATGTTTGAATTATAAAGAAACAAAATGGCATTAAATAAGCTATTTACAGGCTTAACACTCACGTCCACCTCAATAGCAAGAAGAACAATACAAACATCATGTTATAACTTTGCTAGTAAACCTAATATCGAAAAACCAAAACCTGGATTTGGTAAAAGTTACAGAAGAATAGTTCATTTTCCTGAAGAATACACTGTAAAACCTTTAAATGTAACGAATCTTGCAGGAAGAGATCCCGTGACAGGTAATTTTTCTTTGCTTATTTAATTGGTTATATTAATAAAAAAGAAACCTGTACATAAACCAACAGATATTTATTTTGGTATTACGTTTATTTCAGGGAGATTAGTCGCAAAAGGTATAGGAGGAGGTATAAAACATAAATATCATTGGATAGATTGGTACAGAAAAGGGCCCACAGAGGGACCACCACAGGAAGAGAAAGTCATACAAGTATAGTATTATAGGACTTTATCTTACTATACAAGTAATCGTAACAAGTTCTTTTCAATCATAATTTACATTCCAACACAATAAATGACATACCATAGTAATAATTTCATACAAATGCCATATAGCAAAAATACTGTTTTAACACTTATTAACTTTCAGATAATGGAAGATGGATGCAGGACTTCTCATATAGCTCTAGTGGCAGTTGGAGATAAACTCAAATACATTCTCGCTACAGAGAACATGAAGGCAGGTGATATTATAAAGACTTCTTGCCATCTACCAAGAATACCAGGTAAAATCAAATTAATAACAATGAGGATTAATGTTGTTGACAAAACTTCGATTGTATCTGTGAAAGTCTGTATTTGGCCAACAGATGAACAAAATATCTGGTCTTTGCTAATGAACATATGTTTATTAGTATATAAGAGGGATGGTGGATCTTTATGTATTGAATGTGTAATTTTTCTTAAAAATTTTGATATGGTTATTTTTGGGAATATTACAACAACATTCACATAATATCTGTCACATTTTTTGTAAAAACTACAGTGGAATTGAACATGTTAACCCTTAATTAGATTGTGTCCAGCGGAATGAACAACTAATTAATAACAAATCTACTGAATTAGTTTAGAGAAAATTCGTATGACTTTACTAAAAAAAACCAGTTTTTTGCTACAAAAAATTTCGTCGGATTAAGGGTTAAGAATCTTATTCTGTTTTCCAATTTATTTCATGTTTTGTTACAGTCAAAGCTAATGAGGGTGATGCATATCCACTAGGTGCATTGACGACTGGCACAATGGTGCATTGCATTGAAAAGGAACCAGGTATTTCAAACATAAGTTTGCATTATTTTAGAAGTAGTAAAAACATTATGAGCAGGGTTCCTTAAATTTTTTCAGTTGTCTTATTATAAAATGTTACTGACTTCTGTGAACCAAATTAACATTTCTTCTTTAGCTTGTCAATTATCAATTTTATCTTGCCATTATATAACACAGTCTTCTGTTACCTTAATTTCTAGGTATCGCTGCTTTAGAGTAAAGATAAAATACAGGCTCACAAAAATTTTATACTGTTACAATTTTCAATTGTAGACTTATTCCTGAAATATCAGGTATCAGGTAATTTATATTACTTTTGTGTTAGGTATGGGAGGTCTGTATATCCATGCGGCAGGAACATTTGGAACTATATTGAGGAAGCAAGATGACCGTATCATTGTTCAGATGCCCTCCAAGAGACTGTTCAGTTTTGATCAACATTGTATGGCTGTTGTTGGTAAGA